CACACTCCATTAGCTGCTTTAGCTCTGAAGTTGCTGCAGTGTGTGCTGACAGTACAGGTTCTGGCACTGACAGGAGTCAGGATGCGGTTGCACAGGCACGCCCCAGAGCCTCACCATGAACTTGGTGTCCCCCATGGACAGGGTGTCCGTGACGAAGCCCAGAGACTCCAGGTGTTCCACTGCTGCTTGCAGGAGCTTGGGCTGGAAACACAGAGACATCAGCAGGGCCTGATCTGCCCGGTTTGCCTGGGCTAATTCATTCACCCATCCTTATCCTCTCTTTGATTCCTTCACCTAGTAATTACTGCATCCCACTGAAGCCCCCCCGCCCCTCCTCCCCGCGCGGAGATCAAAGAGCGGAGCCCTCTTTCTCTGAAACGAAGACAGGCCTTCCAGGGAGAAAGAGGAGGCGAACGAGAGAGAGAGAGAAAGACACAAGCACAAGAGAACCCCTCAAAGAGCGGCTGACCCCCCTGACCTGAGCACAGCGAAGGGCTCACCTGTTTGGGAGAGGTGGAGGTGTATTCGGGGTGGGTCAGCAGGATGTCAATATCCCCACTGGACTCAGCTCCTGGGGTGGCAACACACAGAGGGTCAAGATACTGACGCAGAGGTGATACACACACTGCCCACCAACACACACAGACACAGAGGGACAGACGGGGAGGCAGAGGGACAGAGGGACAGAGGGACAGAGGGACAGAGGGACAGAGGGACAGAGGGGGAGGCGGAGGGACAGAGGGACAGAGGGGGAGGCGGAGGGACAGAGGGACATTGGGGGAGGCGGAGGGACAGAGGGACAGACAGGGAGGCGGAGGGACAGAGGGACAGACAGGGAGGCAGCACACTCACCCCTCCTGAAGCTGCCACAGATGGTGCCAATGTAGTCTGGGCTGAGCTTCTCGAGCTCCTGCAGGATCAGAGCCTGTGAAAACACACACACCACTCTGGGCTCTGCATCTCGCACTGCTGTACATGCTCTGACACTTTTACACATAACTGTGGGGGTTTAAACATGCAAAACAACTCAGATACTAACACCCTACATACTACCAGAACTGTGCACATTCACCTAATGAGGAACTTTAAATAATCGGAGCTCAGACAGCAATCGCAACATCACTTCTACTTTGATTACCATTCTGCTGTCACAGATAAATCGCTTTGGATACAAAAAACGATCACCACCACTATACTCCCTCCATGATTTATATTTCTAATAGGACATGTGGCCTCAGCACTGACCTCCATCTTCAGCATCTCAGACCGAGGGATCCTCTTCTCAAAGTCCTCAAAATACCTGCAAGGCAAGGTGGGGTTCAGGAGCACTGGCGCCACCTGCTGGGACACTGCAGCCTGACAGCAGGACTGGTGCACTGCACTGCAGAAGGTGGAGGCTGCTCTCTCTTTTCCTTGTCCCGGTGGTTTTCTCTGTCACTCAAACTCTAGTGCAGCGATTCCCGACCCTGGAGCACCTATCTCTTGTGTGCAAACCTGTTCATTATTCAGTTAAGTCTACTTGAACCTTAATAGAGCCAACTAAGTGATAGAATATTCTACTCTCAAGACTTACAAAAAACCTTTAATTCCGAGAGGTATTGTGTCCCTTTTTCGACTCGCTTGTTGCTCCCCTATAGTTTTCCAGTCACGATGTGAACACACAGGTGAGAATGACCATGTTGAACCCTCCCAGTAAAGGCCACTTGGTCCAAATCCAGCAAGTCACTGAAACTAAGCTAACGCCTTACTAAGAAATGAAACTGTTTTAAAACACCTTAAATTTGAGAGTATGATGAGCCAAACCAAGACACTGGGGTACTCTGGGATCAGGAATGGGGAACACTGAGGGAGGGCATTTCTAAGAACTGGGGAGGTGGGGGAGGACTCCCTCTGCTGCTCAGAATGAGTAAGTGCATGACAACATGACTACTGCACAGCTCATCCACTGCAATGTTCAGGCAAGCGAAGACAATCAAAAACTGACTTACCTCAGACCAATCCGCTGATGGTGGTTGAGCTTGTGTTCATTTTCCCTCAGATCTGCATGGTAAAAAAAGGCAAGATTGAAAGTTCTGGATGAGACAGACGAGGTTTCTTAAAATACCCCCCAGATCTGTCCATGACAGACAGGAGTGTTACAGCTGAATTTCTAAATGTCTGAATGAAGCTTTTGTTGACAAAAAAGGAGATGATGGGGGGAGGTGGGGTGTACGTTGAAGCTGTGGATGAACACATCGCCCCCTAATGATCTAATGACAAAGGTGTGCACTGGAAGTTCTACATGAGGAGATAGGAGTGTCATTAGTACAGGTGTGAATGAGTATGACTGTGGTGGCTCACATACACATGGCCATGGCCAACTGTTAATGTAGACAAACTAACCATCCAGGGTCTTAACTCCCTCGGCCACTAACTTGCGCGCCGCCGCTGGCCTGGAGAAACAGACAGAGAGCGAACAGAGAGAAAAGAAACTGGAATGTTATTGGCCCTAAAACACAAAACACACCAAGGTGAGAGAGAAAAAGACTAATTAGACCCTGACAAAGTTCAGGCTCAGTGACCACAGCCTGGCCATAGAAACTGCACACAGGCAGACCTGGATACCCAGAGAGGACAGGCTCAGTG